ATCTTTATTTATCATTTCTCTCTTTGTGTTTTGCTTTTTAAATATTGGGATAAATACATATTTATTTCTAAAAAAAGTAAAAAACTAATTATTATTTTAAATTATTAGTCAAAATAAATAACTATAGTTTTTTTATTAATAAATATTTAAATTATAAATAATTTTTTTTATTTATAATGACTTTATCTATTAAATAATAAATACTTTATTTAAATAAAGAATGAGTGGTATTATAGGAATAACTTTTTATATTATATTTTTATACAACTTTCACATGTCATTAAATGAGTTAATGCATTCAATATTACAGGTTTCACATGAATTAAAAGAATTAATCGTTTTAATGACACATCAGATTATACAAAAAAATAGGATAAAAAGATTGTACAAAAATCATTTCTCATAAATAATTTAAATTAATAATTTATCCATATATTTTTCAAGGTAAATTTATCCGGAGGAGTTGGAGATCCTATCCTCTGTTTTTTTGGTAAAAATTTATTTTTAGTTTTCTATTTTAATAGATTTATAGGTTTTAGTCACTCATATTATATTATGACACTTTAGTCTTTTATCTTAATAAGTTTATAGGTTTATCCAATCATCTTATATTATGACACTTTTAACTCCTTACTTATACAAATTGAAAAAAAAAAAAGCTCTCATTTAACATCAAGTTATAATGTTTTGTTAGTTTTGTTAATTAATTGTTAACTCTGTTAACTGATTGTTAGTATCCATTAACATTCCGTTATAAAAAACATGAAATTTAAATTCAATTTTATTTGTTAGTTTTGTTAACGAAATGTTAACGGAATGTTATGAGTCAATTAACAAAATTAACAATCAACTAATAAAACTAATAAAATGTTATAACATGATATTAAATAATGGTTATTTTTTTTTCAATTCATATAACTGAGGGGTTAAAAATATCATAACATAAAATGAGAGGTTAAAATTTATAAACTTATTAAGGTAAAGGGTTAAGTATGTTATAGTATAAGAAGAGAAGTTAAAATCTATAAATTTATTAAGACGAAGGGTTGAAGTATGTTTTACCCCGTTTTTCCGTACACGCTTATGCCGGAACTTTGAATCCTTCTCAGTCAGGAAAAGCAATGGCGCCAAAAAAGACCCCTGCACCTCCCCCTCCGAATTCGATCGGTAAAATAAAAATGATAATGCCTTGAAATTTCCAGAAAATCCATGAACCATTTTCTGATTTTCTCCTTTTTTTTTCCGATTTGGGGTTCGCAGGTCACTCCGAGGTTTTGCTCGAAGCGAGCAAGTTTGTCTGCGAGTTCAATCCGAACAGTCTCCAAATATCCATATCCAAAAACACAAAAATCAGAATCTCAGGTGCTAGTTTCATGCCCTTCATCTTCCATAGGTCTCCGGAGTTTGGCCCGACTAACTATTTTCACTGAAATGGACCTTTTTTTTTTTTTAATTTAATGGAGTTAATTTATAATATTCTCACTAAAATATCTTGTTTAGTTGATTCTGCTACTGAGAGATGATATGAATGGAAAGTCTGGAAATGATTTTCAGCTCTCAAAATTTGAAAAAAAAGGTAAATTTATTCATCCTGAATTCTTTTTTTTTTTTTGGGGGATTTTTTTTTTTTGTAGAATTTAGGGAATGAAATTGATGTATGTTTTTGTACCTAAAATTTTGGACTTATTTAGAACGGCCTTCCAATGAGGACGGGTATGTGTTTCTGCTTGTTAATCCTAAAGAAGACGATAGCTGCACGAAATCTTATCTTCAGGTATTGTTTCTCTGTGCTTGTGTGTGTTAAAAATGACATCTTGCTGTTGCCTTTTGTTTTGCAACCCATTACTTCTGTTTTGAGAG